GGAGGGGAGGGGGAGGGGAGGGGAGGGGGAGGGGGAGGAGGACTCAGCAGAGGGCCCCAGAGGCCACCGAGCGCAGAAAGCTGAAGCTGTCTCTGGAGGGCAGAAGCCCTTAGGGTCGGAGCCCACTCGGGTCGGATTTTCCACGCGAGGCCCCACCACAGCCCGGAGCTGTCACGGGTCCCTCAGAGGGACTCAGTGCCGCCCAAGTTCCAGCTGCCTAGCAGTGGGGGACACTGGGCTCCCGGGCCTGGCCCGGCAGGGCTGACCTCGGCCAGGTGGGGCTCAGCCCCTGCTCTCCCTGCCCAGGAGGTGGGCAGCGTGGAGACCCCCACGCCGCCTGCCACGCTGGGCGCAGCTGCTCCCAGCCTCAGTCACCCAGAAGCGGCCTCCGCCCAGGGCGCCAACTCCGGCCCGCTCTGCCGAGCCTCACTGGCGCCCGCAGTGGCAGAAGCGATCTCCCTGCCCTCTCTGCCTGTCCGGCCACGTCTGAGTGGCTGTGCCCTTTGCCGGGCTTCTGGGTCGGGGCTGAGGGCCAAACTCCCAAAGGCCGTAAGGCTGCCCCTCAGTACACCCAGCCAGCCTGGTTCCACCCCAGCAGGGGCAGCCGCCGCCAGCTGCGGGGCGACTCAGAAAGCGGCAGCGGTCGGCCACCTCCGCCGGCCCAGCGATCCTGCCGGGTTTGTCTGCTCTGCTCTCTCAAACACCGCCCCCCCACCCCCCAGCTGGGCCCAAACTTGGCTCCCTGTGCTCGTAGACATTCTCCAGCAACAAGTGCTGCTGTCAAACAGAATTTGGGGTAAAAATAAAAAGAAGGGGGCTAGCGTTTCTTGAGTTCATTATTGTTAGGAACAGATAGTTTCTTTGCTCTTTTCTTTCTTTTTTTCTCTCTTTTTGTTTTTTGTTTTGTACACAAAAGAATACCAGAAAGTCCCCAGTCTCGTTTCCAACTTCATTAATTTTCAGGAGCACACTGCTTTTGTCTCATTTATCCTTCAGAGTTGTTTAAAACACACCCCGACACCGTAATTTCTCTATCAGGGGTCTTCGGTAGGTGTTCATTACAGAAATAGAATGTCATTATTGCACATTATAAAGTTAATAATTACTCTATAAAGTCACCTAATAACACATTCAAGTCCACCTAACTGTCTCTAGATGCATTTTCATGATTGGTTTCGTGAAGTGAGAACCGGGAACTTCCACCATTACATTGGTCGGTGGTCTTCTGTGTCATTTCGGATTCCTGACGGTTTCTTCTTCTACTTCCATGCACATGTGCTCAGAAGAGATGGGTCGCGTGACATGCAGTGAGCAAACAAGTGCACTAGGAACACTTGGAAGCATTTTTATTGCATCTCAACATTGCCACCCAGATCTTCTTCTGTACGACAGAAGTGTGGAGTTGTGTGGGTCCCCAGTTTCCTTAACTCGTCTCTCCTGGATAGACATTCAGGCTGGTTCCGCCCTTTTGTTAATCGATGCTCTACATTTGCCTGGCCTAATCTTCCCTAGAGTCCTGCCAACTTGGCTTAAGGACTTGGCCACAGTCATGGGCGAAGGAGAGACACAAGGCTCTTCCCGCTCCCATGAATTCTGTCCTTGGAGCAAGCCTGTGTAACCCTGCCACGCAAGTGTCTAACAACACCTTTACTTCAGATGGGGTGGATGCAGGCAGCACGTGCCTTGGGGGAGATTGTGAAGGAAAATTTAGCCTGAAGTTCAAGGCTGGAATTTCCAGCCTGTGCCAGCCTGTGGGGAGAGGATCTTCGGGAACAGCTGGCCTCTCCGGCCTTGTCGGGGAGAGGAATGCCAGGCATCCACGGGCAGGTGGGGCTGCTTTTGGCAGCAGATCCTCTCGGTGCTGTTAGAGTCGCCTCGTGACCCTGTTCAGCCCAGGGCACCAGAGCGCAGTGCTCCCAGGTAGACGCCTGGAGGACCCCTAGGAAGACAGAGCCTCCGCCCCTTTGACCCACCACCCTGTCCTCCTTGCTCTGTAGAGGGATGAAAAGTTAAACAAAGTAAACCAAGCAAACGAGTGAAACAAAAATCACCTCGCGATCATTTGAGAAGGGAAATTAAGCTGAGATTTGAAGGCAGCCTTTGGATTCTCACCAGAATCTTTCATTAATTTCCTCCTTTTCTTTCACTGCAAAGTTCAGTTCCTAGAGGAAATGAGTCCCTGTCCTTCCGTTCTCTGTCAGCGAGCATCTTAAGGAGGCCTGCTCCCACGTGCCCCTTGCTAAGTACGCTGGAGCTGGAAGATAGGAGAGTCATGAGTGTTTCCATTTGAAGACAGAAATCAGATTCTCTGCACAGCTCTGACCAAGGTACAATGACAAACACTGCATCTGGGAGGGATTTTCCAAGTGGGTTTAAACAAAAGACCTTTCTTTTTCTGCCTCTGTAATCAGAATACCCCAGTTCCCGAGTAGTCCTGTTCATAAAGGGTTTATTGTGTCATTGCTAAGTTCCTGAGCCAAACAGACCAACAAATTAGCCACAAGATCATGAAATTGGCAGCAGAGCATGGGCTGACCACGGGGATCTGACTTCAGCACGGACAAGTCCCTCACTGGCAGAGCTGTCAGCTCTAGGAGCACCAGGGTGGGCATGTCTGGAACAGTCACGAGCCACCACTCTGGTCCCCCCTTGTTACCCATGCTGACTGGAGTCAGAGCAGAGGGTCACTCGCTCAGCATGCTGGAGATAACTTTCCACAGTGTGCCGGGGCTAGGCAAGGGTAGGTACCGCACATACACACCCTGCTGCCTGAGTTACAGCAAGAAAGAGGAAATTTTTTAAAAAATTCAATACATTTCATATTGCACTAAAGTACTGGGTATAGTTTTTAAACTCATTATGGCTTTATCCACTTGAGAAGGAGGATAAGAATAGTAACTAAATCCTAAGATTGTTAAGAAGGAGAGAAGACAGCAGGTGCTCCATAAATGTTAGATATAATAATGAAGCATTACTTCCCCGAAATTAAAGCTAGACTTTCTGGATCCCACTCCCAAAGTACATGTGTCTTAGATAGTTTCTCACTGTTGAGACGCAATGCCTGACTCCCACAGTGGAAAGAGGAGAGGTTGATTTGGGCTCATATTATAGTCCATGATCGGCTGTCTCCAAAGAAGAAACCGCCCAGCAGAGCAGCCTGGTGGAGGAGAGCTGTGGCCAGGAATTAGGGTAAACAGGAACCCAGGCAAGAGATGTACCCTTCTAGGCTACAACACCAGTGACCCCCCTCTTCCAACAAGGGCCCACCTCCTAGGAGCTCTGCTGCCACAGTAACCCAATCATCTCCCCCAAATCCCACCTCTGAGCATGTAAGGTAAACCATAACATTGTGCATGGCCTCCAAAAGGCCCATGTGCATCTCTTTACACAAATTGCATTTAGCCCATCTTAAGAGTTGCTGGAGTCCCATTAGTTCCAGCATCACTGAAAGTCCAAGTTCAAAGTTTCCTCTGAAACTGAAGGGAAACTCTTAGCTGGGAGCCCTGGTAAGATAGGAAAAAATAGTGCAACACTGAGGACATACGAGGACCCAGGGTAAACATTCCCACTCCAAAAGGGAGAAATAGGAAGATAGAAACTAATGGGACCAAAGCAAGACCAAAACCCAGCAAAGTCAACATTAAATCTCATAGTTCCAAGATCAGCACCCGAGGCCAGTCCCGGTGACCAGATGTGAACTCCAAAGGGCTTGGGTGCCCCACCCTGTGGCTTTGCTGATTGCACGCTATGTGGCTTGGCTCTACTCACTGACTGTGGACTTCTCCAGCTGATGTTCTGCCTTCCTAGCATCTCCAATTTCCTGGGTTTCCACTGTACTTTCTTGTTTTTAAAATTTTTATTAATACATGTTTGCAGTACATAATGATTATAATTATTGTGGGGAGCTATTGCATGTACATACCACATTTTAATTGTTTTTAGACCTCTTCCTCCCTCTTCTTTTGCCCCTCCCTCTGTCTGTTATAGATTTGGCTCCTTTCTCAAAGCTTTATACACCGCCCTCTCTGGAGCACACTGCCTGGCCCCCAGGTCTTCTTCTAAATCTGGGTGGAAGCCTTCCTGACCTCACAACTCTTGCATTCTGCATGCTTGTATAATCAGCACCACATGAATGATGCCAAGGTCTGCCACCAGCTTAAGCAGTAGCCAGGCTCCTTGTACCATGGCTTCAGAGGTCAGAGTGCCCTGATGCTGAACACTGTGAAACAAACCCCAGTGAGTAGATTTCCTATCTGGACCTTGGTTGGCTTGGGGCTCTCCTTTCAAAGCAAAGTCTTTCACTTTTGGACCCTTGAGCCTGTAAAAGGAGGGGTCTTGCTGATTCCTGATATGCCCTGAAACCATTTTTCCTATTGTCCTGATCCAAAGTATTTGGCTTCTTTATAATCTTTTTAGCAACCACACTCTGTTTAGCCAAGTTTTTGCCGACTCTTCCTTGCTAGAAAAGCCAAAAACTTTTCAAATGAGCTCTTCGTTTCTGATTTTTCAGTATAGATCTGGCTAAAAGGAGCAAGGAGTATCCCTGCTACAGCCTGAACACTAGGCTGCCTTGAAATTTTCCCCATCAGATTAATTAATTTGCTACCCTTAATCTCAAGTCTCCCTGAAAGTCTCAGGATGTGAACAAACTTTCTGCTGGAGCATAAAACACATGCGCTCTACCCAAATTTCAATACAGTCCTTCTTCCCAACTAATACCTCCTGAACGTGGTCTTTACCATTTGTAGTATTATCTGAATTCTGGTCTTCTGAGGCCTGACCAGAATTTCCCATCAGTCTTGACTTACAGAATTCTAGGGCTGCTTCTCCAACCAGCATCTCCAAACCTTTCCAAACTCCTCCAGCCATCCAGCTCCAAAGATTTCTGAGCCACACGGTCAGGTGGTGTCACAAGAAATGACCTTACTTCTGCGGAACCAAGATTTGTCTTAGTCACTTCCTCATTGCTGGGACACAGTACCCAACATCCAGAACTTAGAGGAGGTGAGTTTGTTTTAGCCTATGTTTAAGTCCATGGTTAGCAGTCTACAAAGAAGAAACAGCATGCAGAGGGGTATAGTGCCGGAAAGCTACTCACCTCATGGTAGCCAGGAATTAGAGGAAGAAAGGAAGGGGCAAGGAGAGAGATAAACCCTTTCAAGCCATGACTCACAGAGCCAAGGTGATACAATGAGAGTCTTGCCATGCACCCTGGGAAATGATCTTTACTTTGCATCGATGCATATAAACAGGAGATGATGCAACTTCCTATTGTATCCTAGCAGGTTGAAGACTAGAGCCAATCCTGTAGAAAGAAAGTAAATAGAAAGAAAGGGATGGAAAGAAAGTGCATCCATATGACATAATGTGAGTCATGAATCTAGCTGAAGGTAAATTTACTCTACTTATAGACTTTTCAATGAAAGGAATTAATAAATTCCCTTGTAGTTTTTCTTTTTTCTTTTTCTTAATGAAAATATATTTTTGTTGTCTTTCCTGTACTCAGAGGTCAGCTGATCCCCTTTGTGACATACAGATAGTTGTTATGTGACTCTGAAGCCAAGAGAACAAGCTGAGATTATCAGAATTTAGTGAAAATTTAATCCAGGAGAAGGAAAAAGGTTGTCAAAGGAGAGAACTGTCCTCCTAATCTTAATATTATTAAAATTTTAGAGAGTCAGGTTATCAAAGCTAAGTCCCTCCCTTAACAGGAAATCTGTGTCTAAAAGAGTTGGTAACTTTTCTGAGACCATGTACCTGGTTGCTTCATGCCAGGGCCAAAACTCAAATTCTGATTTCTGCCTCCTGTCTGCATACCCCTGTTTGCACATCTCTGCCAGTTCTGAGTTAGTGGGGTCCAGGACTTGGTAAGTCTGTACTGTGCCCACAAAGAACAGAGAAAGGTGCAGTCACACACAACACAACAAGGCTTCAATTGACTGTGGGCCACAGATACAACAGTGGTGCCATGAGATTCTGCAGCTTGGTGGCATCGAGGACTGCTTAGTTCACGGAAGTACACTTCATGGCTTTTGTATGACAACAAAATTGCCCAGGAGGCCTTTCCAGAGCAGGTTCCCATCGTTAAGTGACACATCACTCTAGCATTTTGTGATTTAGTGGATGACACTATTATTATTCTAAAGAATCTTACATAATTTAATATCCTGGCCAATCCTGGAATGCTGGTGTGGCAAGTATTTGGACACAAGAAACCCTTGACTTGGGGTGCTTGATGAACCACTTTTCCAGGGCCAAATACCAGTGAGTGGCAAAGCCAGAACTAGGGTCCGGGATGCATGCTCCTTTCTTCCGAACCTCTTCTCTTGTCTCCCCTGCAACACAATGACCTTCTGTGACAAGTACCTAACTAAATAGTCCAGCTTGCTGAGATGTGAGATGCCTTCTCAGGAGCTTCTGAAAACTGTACCAAGATGTTTCTTCTCTCTACTATTTCCTTTTCTCTTCTATATCTGATTGACAAATAAAATCAGATAAACTTAGAAAGTGCAATATGAGGTTTTAAAATATGTGAACAATGTGGAACAGTAAAATAAAATTCATTAACATTTGCATTTCTTTACAAATTCATGACTTATTTCTGACAGCCTGATTTTCAAGTATTCAGTAGCCGCACTATTTCCACAGCTCTGCAGGCAGCTTAGCAGCTTAGCTTCGGTGTCAGTAAAGATGGTTTCAGAGGAGCTGCATCGTTTTCTAGGGCTGCGGAATGTCGTTACCACCCACTCGGTGGTCTGCAATGATAGAAGTTCATCATCTCCTAATCGGAAGACCCGAGGTCACCCTCCCTATGCAGGCTTAGGGGAGAATTTGCTCTGTGCCTTTTCTAGCTTGTGATAGCTGCTCCTTTCTGTCACATGTGGCCACACCACATTAATCTCTGCCTCCATCTTCACATGGTCTTTTCCTTATTGTGTTTGTCCTCTGCATACTGCTTAGAAGTACCTTTGTCACTGGACTTGAGATTAATCCAGAAAATCCAGGCTGATCTCTTTGTTTCATTATACTTAACTTAATTACATCTATAAAAACCTCTTTTCCAGGGCTGGGGATTTAGCTCAGTTAGGACATGGATATATCTTTTAGGAGGAGGCCACCTTTCAGGCCAAAAAGGACAGTTAGTTATCCAAGGTCAAGAGCTTAGCAGGTAGAGTGAGTCAAAGCTCTGCCCAAGTGATGAAAACACATTTTCTTTCCCAAAGATGGGCTTGAACGTATTAACAAATTCTGGAGAGATCTAAGGAGCTGGTCCTCAGAGAATGGCCCTCGTCAGCTCTGTCAGCTAGCCCGGGGTCATGGGAGGGAAGGAGCTGACCCAGCAAGCTGGGACTGGTCTGTCTGCCTGGCACACACCCTGTTCACATGCTCCCCTCTGCCAACATCAGCCTCGTGCCAACAGGCAAACTTGAAAAGCCACTTCTGAAACAAGAGCGTGTGTTTGTCTTGACCAGCATAGCGAGTCCTCCGGCCGTGCTCCTGCTGTTCCTTTATGTAAAGATTGGCGGACGCTCACTTCTACCTCGGGATCCCTGTCTGTGATGTGTCGCTGGTACGGAGCCTACATAAAAGGCAGTACTTTGGTGACCTGTGACACCTCGACTGTCCATGCTGTTGAGCAGAAAGGAAGGGAGGTAACAGCCAGGACTACGGGTGTGCGTGCTTTACCGCAGATCCGCTCCCTACCCTTTCCTCTCTGTTCCACAGCTCATGCCTGTGACCTTAGGAGACCCCCTTACCAAAGGGCCTCAAGTTGGGTGAGGCCAACTGAGGACCCCGAGAAAGCTGGAGGGAAGAACAGAGCAGGGAGTGGAAGCTGCCGGACTCACTTCCCGTCTTGGTGGTGGCAGAGCTGAGCCCAGCCTGAGCTCTCAGCATCTCCCAGGTGGCTCTTTACCTCCTGTTTCCAGTCCCAGGAAACAAACTCACCTTCTGCGCTCAGCCTCAGGCCCAACGCTGGCAGCTCGATTACCACACTGTCTGTCTTTCGTGGCGTGCCTGTACCTGCCTATACTTTCCTTTTTCAACTGGTCCTATTATTACATCTTCCTCAAAATCTCCTAATGAGTCCTCTGGTGGGGATTCACAGCAGTGAAGCCCAGTCCTTTCAAGATCCTTGTGCCCTGTTTGATTTCCACAACTGCGATTGTCCTTTGCACCTCACTCTGGATGAGGCCCCAGGGGCCTTCGCCGGAGATTCAGGAAGCAAGTGAGGAGCCAGGACTCGAACTCACCTCCGTGGAACTTCGAAGCTTTCAGATCTTCAGCTGTTTCTTCCCAACACTGAAGAAAGGTCTTTAAAGATGTCTAGAGAATCAGTTTTAAGGTACAAAAATGTACCTTAAATAATGGCTTAAATTCTTTATTCAAAGCTAAGTTTTATAAAGTCATGCTGAGGCCCCAACAAGAAAGGGGAGAGAGAGAGAGAGAGAGAGGCTCAGAAGTCACAGTAACTGGAATTGATTATGACTGTACAGTAGTCTACTAAGAAGAGGAGGACTAACTGTGTTTACAACCCAGACCCAAACTGTTTCCCACCTCCTTCGCCTCTCAATGCCCTCTCTGACCATGGATCGCCGCGCAGTTCCCACCTCCATCTACCAGAGAAACCTTCTCCCCACCCCTGCAGGCTTTCAGATTCTCTCTCCCCACTGGGCCCCAAAAAGGAATCAGCCAAAATGGAGAAGGAGCCCACCCTGTCCTTTCCAGGGCCCCGCCTGGTAGGGAATGGAGGTGGGAGCCACAGTTTGTGGATTCTCTGCTGCAGTATCATTACAACTTGCCCTCCATAAAGGAGAAAAGACAAAGGCCAGGGTCTGAAGAGCATTTGTGTGTTTATTGCCTGGCTTCTCCACCTCCATCCTCCGACTAAACTGTACCATCCACAGGAAAGCAACCTTCGCCTCGTTACTAAGTCCCCAAGCCTAAGCTGCCCCACACAAGGAGCTCAATGAAAATACATCGAGTAAATACAGGAGCGACCTCTTTTTGCCTTCAAAGCCCAGGGTTGTCTCACCCTAACTTGGTTGCAGCTAGAAAAACAAAGCTCAGAAGCTGTTGCTTCTAGACTGCCAGAGGCCTCCTCTGCGGGTGTTGGTCTCGGGATCCAGTTTCTTGCTCTGCAAAGCAAGTCACCTCCAACCTATGAGGTGCTATTAATGATGCCACACAGGGCCCCCCAGTGTGAAATAAAACTCGTCGTTCTGGCCAGCAGACAACCCGTGCCCCTTAGAGATGATGTGATTGTTTAACTCCCACTCCCAGTCACCCCAGGCAAGGACTGAAAACCAGAAAGAAAGCTTAGCAGAAACCACGACTTACAATGTGAATTCCCTTGGCTACCTCACTCCAGTTTTAACACTGGAATGGCTGCGCTGGCCAAAGCCCAGTCAATCAACTAATTATTCACCTACTACTGCACCGAAGGAGTGGGTCTCCAAACTTCCTCTTTTGCCACTGAGTCGGTGAGTTGCTGTGGCTTCAGTAGTCAGCTTTTATCTTGGGAAATAATTGTCTTCCCTCAGGAGCGTGCTTGGCTCTGTGGTAGCGCACAGTGGCGCTGTTTGTAGTTTGATCGATGCTGCCCTGTAGGTCCCAAGCTCCCCTCCCGTGGCCTGATCTGCAAAGAGCCCGACTACGAACACCACCGTGACCTCCTGTGAGCCAGGGACTGGTGGGGTCCCTTGGTTGTCTCTGCCCCTCTTGACAATACTTGCCTCATACTTCATTCTGCACAGCAAGAGAAGGGACATTTTTCAGTTCCCGGTGACACTGATGGGATGAATGTCTTGCGCGACGGTCTCAGTGAGCCTGGAGTGTTTTCCATGAGTTAGAACCTGAATTTGGGGGGAAAACCACATCAAAACAATCTCATAAGAAACCGCAGCTCTTTCAAATGCTTTTAAGCCAGTTTCAAAATATTGGGGAGTATCTGAGGATTGTGGAAGACTAGCTAAATCTTTCAACTTTTCTCTCCTAAAGCCTTGGAATTATGGAACTTCAGGTTAGGAGGGACCAGAAATATCAGTGTCACACACACACACGCACACACACACACAACTGTGTGTGTATATTTATATCTATATATGGACTAATTATTTAATTTAATCCTTCCCAACAATTATACAGTAGATGCCATCTTCATTTTTCAAGGTTTTGAAACTG